GCAAATGCAAGTTATTTAATCAACAATTAATTTTAAAAAGAATAAGGAAAAATGGGAAAGGTTAAAGGAAACACATCAACCCGCTCTCTGGCAGGGAACATCACAAACGGTGTCTCTGGAATGTCAGGGCAGTTCACAGTCTGTTCCTTGTAAGTCCCAGGCCTTCTTCTCAGGCCCTGGCTGTGCTGCAGGGATGCTGTGGGTTGGACGCTTGCTCTGGTGGTGGCCACATGCTCTCAGGCTCTAAGTGGTAGGACCCTCCTTCCCCGTGTCGCCCCCGCCCTGTCGGGGTTACGATCCAAGCCTGGCCTGCAGAGCCTCTTGGCTGAGGTGTCTCCCTGTGCTGGGCCCGCTGCCCAGGGTCCCCCTCGCTTTCCCCAGCTGCTCACCGCACCCAGCTCCGGACTGCTCCAGCCCCAGCTGCACCACTCTGTCTCAGCACTGCTGCTGCTGCTCTGCCGCCAGCTCCCTGGGCTGCTTCTTTGGCCCCTCTGCCTCTGGTTGCTGCAGCTCTGCTGCCAGGACAGGTCTGCTCTGCAGGCTGCTTTTGTGGCTCTGCTCCCAGCACTGACCTGCTTCCTGGGCTGCTTTTCTGGCCCCTATAGCTCTGGTTGCTGCAGCTCTGCTCCCAGGACAAGTCTGCTCTCTCTGGGCTGTGCCTCTGGCTTTGGGGCTGCAGCTCTGCTCCCAGGACAGGGTCTGCTCTCTCTGGATCTGGCACAGCTCTGCTCCCCAGCGCAGCTTGCGCCCCTGCTTTCCCCTAGCTCGGCCCCACTCTGTCTAACCCAGGCAATTCCAGCTCACATGGAGGGCGGGACCTCCCTGGCCTCCTGACTCGCTGATTAGCCTGCCCGCCCTGTCATTCAGGCTGACCTGGAGCATTGGCCTCTCCCCATTGTTCCTGGAGACTATCAGTTTCGGGGTCCTGATTTCCCATAGACCCTTCCCTTTTTAGTACTGGGAGCTAGCCAACCAAAACACCCCCACTGAATGTTAGTAAGGGGGCAACAGTCCCCTTACATATAACAGTGTTTAAAAGAGAACTGGATAAATTCATGGAGGTTAAGACCATTAATGGCTATTAGCCAGGATGGGTAAGGAATGGTGTCCCTAGCCTCTGTTTGTCAGAGGGTGGAGATGGATGGCAGGAGAGAGATCATGAGATCACTTGATCATCACCTGTTAAGTTCACTCCCTCTGGGGCACCTGGCATTGGCCATTCTTGGTAGACAGGATACTGGGCTGCATGGATCTTTGGTCTGACCCAGTATGGCCATTCTTATGTTCTTATTCCTGCACCAAGCAGAGTTCAGCCAGAACAGAAAATTGGGGCCTGAGGCATGGCTGCTTTCATAGATGAGTGCATCACCGCATCACTTTCGTAGAAATTCAGCTTTCACAAAAGCAAATAGATATCCAGGCATTTTTTAGCCTGTTCATTTTCCCCATGAGACTTGCATACAACTCCTATTGAAGTCAACAGGAGTGTTATGTTCTTCTGAGGACAGATTTTGGACTTCACTTTATATTAATCTGTAATGTGAGAATGTGTGCACTTGAAGGAGACTTAACTAGTAATTGTATCTGTTGTCTGCAGAATGTGAGTTCTTTATATTATTCAAATCCTTAAAATGTAAATCATCCTATTTTCATAATCTCACCTTTATTGTCAATGTCTTTTTTTTTTCTAAGCCCTTTGCACTTTATCCCTCATCAAGTAGTTTCACGTTAAGGTTAGCATTATCATGTAAAGCAGCTGCTTTCAAATCCTCTGGAGTTAGTGCCACTGCAGGGGGTGGGGCAGCAGGCACAATTTGGATCTGTGTTCTAGGATGAGGAAAGTAACAGATGATCTATGCATGTAAGTATTTTAGAATGTTAGAAGAATGCTAGAATGACACAAGAATGCTATGAGCATGCCACACAATGTGCCCTGCTGCATTACCATTACATAGGGAAAACACTAATGACTGACAGATTATTTTAATTTTGTTAGTCGGTAATAAAAATGATTATTCATAGGAAAAAATGTAACCAGACCAAACAAAAGCTATCCATGCCTTTGTTAAAGGAATTACAGTATGTTGGAGTATGTTGGAGTAATCGTTTAAGAACCTCAGACAAAGATTATCCTTGTAATGCCACATCAGTCACTGAGACCTTTGATTAACTTTGGCTTCATCAGTGCAGAAGGCATGAACTGAATTTATTCAAAGGCTGACTGAACTGACACTAGCCATTTGGGGAAAAAAAATCTAAGCAGTGAGGTTACATGTGAATAGTTATAAATTTATGATAAAAAATATAAGGAGAATTACTCCTCATGCCTGGAACATAAACTGGAAGTAATTCTCTCCCCCACAGCAGAGTTATAGATCAAGGTGTTTTACATGAGTATTGTGCCTTGCTCTGAAGCATTTGGCCACCATTCAAGGCAGAAGACTACTCTGCAGTATGGCAGTTCTTACATCCTTATGCAATTTAACTGTCTACCTACTGCCATACATTATACTAGTGGAACGCATCTCAAGCAGTAAGGAATTTATTCTTACAAGGGACCTATAAGGTAGGGAAGGATTATCTTCATTTTACAGATGGGGAACTGAGGCACAGAGAGATTAAATGACTTGTTCAAGGTCACACAGGAAATCATGTGTCAGAGCCAGAATCACAGTCATGGTCTCCTGAATCTTGATCCTGTGCTGTAACCACAGACCATCCTTCCTTGATTGTTTGTGCTAATATCCCATTTCTACATCTTTTCTCTGACCTCTTTTGGGTTTATTCATCCATTTTCTTCATCTCCCTTTGCTTGTGTAGCAGCCATTCTCTCCTCTCCCCTCCCACGCCCCCGCTCCTTAGCAGCAAGGGCAGTTGAAAAAGAATTAAGTTAGACAGAAGAGTTATATTCCTCTTCTGTCTAAAATATGTCAAACGTATGCAGGGTATTTTCAGAAATTTTCTTACAATCTTAGTGTAGTTTGGGGTTGAGTAAATATGAATTTTACAGACTTCTAGCGTGGGAGGAGTTACTGCATACATTTCTGTTTTCCTTTTTGTTTTCTTTTGATGATGGTTTAGGTGTTTTGGATGGATACATCATTTGTGATTTCAAAATACAGCTACTTGCACAAAATTACTGTCTTAAAGGAAAACTTCCTTTTCACTAAGTTTCCTGTGATATTTGCTAACTATTTGCAAGAATTTAAAGGATCTTCTGGGTTTTGGGGGGACTCTATTTTTCTCATGCCTTCCTCTTGATTCCAGACTCCAATGCAGCAGAATTAGAGGCTTCACTTATGAGTTACAGTACATGCAGATCACATGGACACAGTCTCCATGGAAACTGTCTAATTTGTGCTTATATTCAATTAGAATTGTCCATTACCTCTCCAAATGAAATTTAATTTGAATACATGTGCCAGTCATTTTTTAAAATCGTATGATATTCCTTTTCTGTCATTTGACTGACTAGATTTCTAGGAGGTTGAACGTGAATGAAAAAGTTTATTTAACTATGATAAGTGTAGGAATACATGTTACTTTTTCTGAAACTTTTAAAATATTTTCTGATTCTTTTTTCCATACACTATCTGGATTCTACTTCCCACTCTTATAAAATCAGTTATATTAGCTGAAGCCTAGAGTGAAGCATGACCAGGAACAAACATCTGTAAATGTCTAAATTAACATTTGCAACCATGTTATTTAATTTGAGTTAATTGGAAATCAGTTAATTCACATTACAACACAACTAAAAACAGCAGACTAGAAAATTTACTAGGCCAAGAAATATACAAGGTGTATACATTTATTAAATACAGCATTGAAATCTGCAAAAACTGTAATTTTGTTTACATTATAAGTCAAACCACACAAACTACATACCTGATGTGGTAATTATATAATCTTGGTACCTGAAAAGAAAAGCAGATGTGGCCTAATTTGTAGCCTATTTCAAATGTTGAATGTCCACCTCAGAATAACAGTTGTATTCATGAATGTGAGTTAATTGGAAATCAGCTACTCAGGTTACAACTCAACAAAAAGTAGTCTAGAGAAGCCCAATATGTCACTGTGTTTGTTCTCTGAAAATGTGTGCCCCGTTTCCCAGTTGCCTAAGCAGTGGTAGACAGGAAGTACCTCCCCGTTCACTTCCACTCACTCTTCTACTTTGGACCACTTGCACTTTTGATTAAAAAACAGGATATGGGGAGAAATACTATGAAAGACCGTTTTGACTTAAAGAATTTCCTGGGAACTGTATCAGAAAAAAAAGTGAAGAAAGGACCAAAAAAGGGACATGACAAAAAATAGAGAATGTAAGGATAAGGATAATTTTAGGTACTTATATGCCCTTTGTTACTGTAGTTTCTGACCAAGTAAAGTTATTCTAAGGCACAGTGAGGCTAAGTGACTCGCCTAAGGTCACAAGGAAATCTGTGGTGAAGAGAACTAAAATGGCAAAACTAAAATGAACTAAAATGGCAGAAGAGTCACAAACAGAAAATTACTGGACCTTATACATTCAGACTTCAAAAGATTAAGTCGTGAGTGAAAGAAAATAGGCTGAAAAGCATTTATAGCAGTAAAATAAGCAGAGAGAAATGGGAAGTATTTACGACACAACTGGAGAAGTTACAATAAGAATTCTTTCCAAAGTAACTAAAAAAGGAAAACCTAAAAGGACACCAGAAATCAATGGGACTAAGCGGAGATGGAAAAAGCAACATGCAAGCTAAAACAAAAGGCATTTATTGATACAAAGGATCTGCCCAGGTGGGAAAGTTACAAAACCAAACAAAAAGCATGAAAATAAATTTAGAAAAGCAAGAAGGGCAACAAATATTTGAGAATTTAAGATCCCTTTCCCCTCACTCTGGCCACATCATTCAGCACATACAGTATGGTGAGTCATTTAAAAATGAATGGAGAGCTTATAGCCAGGAATATGGAAATATCAGAGTTATTAAATAGTTACTTTGTTTCTGTCTTTACAGAGGAATTGGGTGGCGATCTGCTCAAGTCGGGGATCAGTTTTCCGGGGACAACAGAGGAGGAGCTAGGTACAGATATTCTCTCTCAGATAACTTTATGCTAAGCAAGGTTAGAGGCACTTGAAATAGACTAAGAATCAGGTCTGGATAATATGCAACCAAGCAGTGAGCAAGGAAATTGATGGAGCTTTAATTTTTCCTAAGCTATCTAGATTCAATTCCCAATTATTTGGGAAGTACTACTGTCAAGGTTCCTCCCCCACTCTGAACTCTAGGGTACAGATGTGGGGACCTGCATGAAAAAAACCCCTAAGCTTATCTTTACCAGCTTAGGTCAAAACTTCCCCAAGGTACAAAATATTACACCCGTTATCCTTGGAATGGCCGCTACCACCACCAAACTAATACTGGTTACTGGGGAAGAGCTGTTTGGACGCGTCTTTCCCCCCAAAATACTTCCCAAAACCTTGCACCCCACTTCCTGGACAAGGTTTGGTAAAAAGCCTCACCAATTTGCCTAGGTGACTACAGACCCAGACCCTTGGATCTTAAGAACAATGAACAATCCTCCCAACACTTGCACCCCCCTTTCCTGGGAAATGTTGGATAAAAAGCCTCACCAATTTGCATAGGTGACCACAGACCCAAACCCTTGGATCTGAGAACAATGAAAAAGCATTCAGTTTTTACAAGAAGACTTTTAATAAAAAATAGAAGTAAATAGAAATAAAGAAATCCCCCCTGTAAAATCAGGATGGTAGATATCTTACAGGGTAATTAGATTCAAAAACATAGAGAACCCCTCTAGGCAAAACCTTAAGTTACAAAAAAGATGCACAGACAGAAATAGTTATTCTATTCAGCACAATGCTTTTCTCAGCCATTTAAAGGAATCATAATCTAACACATACCTAGCTAGATTACTTACTAAAAGTTCTAAGACTCCATTCCTGTTCTGTCTCTGGCAAGAGCAGCATACAGACCGACACAGACCCCTTTGTTTCTCTCCCTCCTCCCAGCTTTTGAAAGTATCTTGTCTCCTCATTGGTCATTTTGGTCAGGTGCCAGCGAGGTTACCTTTAGCTTCTTAACCCTTTACAGGTGAGAGGAGCTTTCCCCTGGCCAGGAGGGATTTCAAAGGGGTTTACCCTTCCCTTTATATTTATGACAACTACAGAAAACCTTTTTTTTTTAAAAAAAAAAGACCCGAAAGGAAAATAAACTAAAAAGGTATATAGTCTTTATCAAAATGTTAATGTACCTTAGTAAAGGTCTTCACCCATATGTGCATATGTCAAGGTTCCTCCCCCACTCTGAACTCTAGGGTACAGATGTGGGGACCTGCATGAAAAACCTCCTAAGCTTATCTTTACCAGCTTAGGTCAAAACTTCCCCAAGGTACAAAATATTACACCCGTTATCCTTGGAATGGCCGCTACCACCACCAAACTAATACTGGTTACTGGGGAAGAGCTGTTTGGACGCGTCTTTCCCCCCAAAATACTTCCCCAAAACCTTGCACCCCACTTCCTGGACAAGGTTTGGTAAAAAGCCTCACCAATTTGCCTAGGTGACTACAGACCCAGACCCTTGGATCTTAAGAACAATGAACAATCCTCCCAACACTTGCACCCCCCCTCTCCTGGGAAATGTTGGATAAAAAGCCTCACCAATTTGCATAGGTGACCACAGACCCAAACCCTTGGATCTGAGAACAATGAAAAAGCATTCAGTTTTTACAAGAAGACTTTTAATAAAAAATAGAAGTAAATAGAAATAAAGAAATCCCCCCTGTAAAATCAGGATGGTAGATATCTTACAGGGTAATTAGATTCAAAAACATAGAGAACCCCTCTAGGCAAAACCTTAAGTTACAAAAAAGATACACAGACAGAAATAGTTATTCTATTCAGCACAATTCTTTTCTCAGCCATTTAAAGAAATCATAATCTAACACATACCTAGCTAGATTACTTACTAAAAGTTCTAAGCCTCCATTCCTGTTCTGTCCCTGGCCAAGACGACTACAGACAGACACAGACCCTTTGTTCCTCTCCCTCCTCCCAGCTTTTGAAAGTATCTTGTCTCCTCATTGGTCATTTTGGTCAGGTGCCAGCGAGGTTACCTTTAGCTTCTTAACCCTTTACAGGTGAGAGGAGCTTTCCCCTGGCCAGGAGGGATTTCAAAGGGGTTTACCCTTCCCTTTATATTTATGACAGCATATTTTCAAATTAATTAAAATCTTAGGGGTGTGGTTTATCTGTTTGTTTTTCTTATTGAGTAGTTTTGCATTTTGTTAGGAATATTTAGCATTTCTGTCTAGACCACTACATTGTAAACTGAAAGTAAATCTTGATCATTATCCTAAAGGGTCTGGTTAAGAAAAAACCCCAGAAGACCACAGTTCGATTAAGGAGTAGTGATTCAGGGACAGGAGGCCATTGTGTTTAGCTCATCTCTTGGGGTGGGATTTTCAAAAGCAATCAGTGCTGGCCTAACTCTGCACCTACTGAAGTCAGTGGGAGTTTTGTAGATATCACTAGAAGAATATATGAGTTTTGAAAAATGTGCATTTACCAAGATTGCACATTAGAGATTAAAGGTTAAGGGAAAGAGTTATGGGATATGGCATTAATAGTGCTGGATAGAAGATTGTACTAAGAAGTGATGAAAACTATTCAGTTTAGTAAGGGGTCACAAGTTAAATATTTCCACCTCCGGCCTCTGTGTGTTTTCATACTGTATGGGGTAGGCATGGTTTAAAATTCTGGCTCAGTAGACCCTATCGATGGACGCAACACCGGATTGCTATCAATGGAGGCAACACTGCGCCTCCTTTTTATGCCGCTCTGACTCCCAGCTGTCCCCTTCCCTAGCACGTGGGAGTTGTAAACACATTGTGCCACTGCAGCCTACCTACTGGGAACTTTCCCCTGCAGCATTTCTGAAGACAAAGCAAATAATATATAGGTCAATGCAAGCTGGTGCAGAAATATGCGGCTCCTTTAGGTGGTGGGGTAGGCAGTAGTTAGTGGAGTTCCATGTAAGCTAATGGAAAATAATTAATTGAGGAATAAGGAACCAGCCTCGGGAATATGTGCTAAATTGATCTATCATCCAGCATCCTGATTAGGAAAAGATTGTGGGGTTATTGTATAAAAGTCATTAAAACCAGTAGCAAATCTAAAGAACAGTCAATCAGAAAAAAAGCTGCATCAGGAAAGGATCAGAAGACACAAAGAGAGGTGATATTGTTACAGTATAAGCATTCACTAAATACTGTGTGCTGTCATACCAGTCATACCACACAAAGGTATTTGTGTTGGGTTGGACCCCCCTTTTGGGGTGCCACCGGATGTGCTGGGGTCCCACTGAGCCTGCCTGTCCTACCAGCCTGGGTTTACCTTACTCTGTGCTGCTGTGACAGGCTCTCAAGCCCCTTTCCAGCACACACAGAGGCAGGAACACATCCAGCTGTAGAATCACACAGAGTCTGGGATTAACTCTCTGTGGGAGGGCTCAGCTAGGGGAATGCCGAGCTCTCCTGTGCACACACCCTCTGGAGTGTAAACCCAAAATGATATTGTCTTGCACTGAATAGAGATCTGTATAGCATAAGCTCATAAAAATCGCCCCCTCCCTCAAAGTGGAGGGAGATATGCACAGCTCTTTGCCCTCCTCCGCCACAGTTATGAATTGCACAAACTGGGTTTTGGAATAAACAAAAAATAAGTTTATTAACTAAAAAAGGTAAATTTTTAAGTGATTATAAGGGATAGCAAACAGAATAAAGTAGATTACTGAGCAAATAAAACAAAACACGCAACCTAAGCTTAATTCACTAAAGAAACAGGTTAAAAATAGTAATTTCTCACCCTAAATGTTGTTTAAGGCAGGTTGCAGAGTTTCTGCTGCTTAGAGTTCCAGTTATTTCTCTTCAGAAGCTAGAGCCCATCTCAGCCTGGACTTAGCCCTTGCCTTTCCCCAGCTTAGTTCCTTTGTTTCTTCTGGTGCTTTCAGCAGTCTTCCTTCTTGTGTGGAGAGGCAGTGGAGAAGAGCCCTGATTGACTCACTTTCCAGCCTCAAATAGGATGTACATAAGGCAGGAATCCTTTGTTTCCAATGGAAAAAATACCAGCAGTGTCCAAGGTGGTACTCCCTACCAGGTAACGTTATCACATGACCTTGCAGTGTTAAAGCCACCAAGAGACAAGGTTTATTTGTAAGGTCCACAGGAATGAACTCCAGGATGATGAGAGATCAACATCTTCAAAGACACATTCTGTTGTCTTTTCTAATGGCCCATTCAGACTGATTGCCTACTGTCTGGTAGGCGTTCCCCAAGTGTACACACAGTTGTAATTGTTACATAGTCAATATTCCTAACTTCAGATACAGAACTGATACATGCATACAAAGTGGATAATCACATTCAGCAAATCATAACCTTTCCAATGATACCTCACATGTCACATCTTGCATAAAACATATGCAAAGTTATGTCATATTCATATTAAAACAATATTTTTATGAATATGGGATGCAGCATCACAGTATTGTTCTCTTGGATTCTAAGTCCAAAGAATCTGAGGTCCCCATTCTTCCCATATAGGAGAATAACCTATGTAGGGGTAGGAAGTTCTGTGAGTTTCAATTTAAGCTTCCAATTAATTCTTTCCTCATGGACCTGTTGTGCATCCTCCTACCTTACTTCTGCAGAAGAAACCAGGGATTCTGCTTCCTTAACTGACAGATCACCAAGATACGTGATAGACAAGAGGCACCCTCATGGCAATTTTATGTAAAGCCTCGGTATGCATGACTGGGGGTGGAGGATTCCATAGAATTTGTTCCATTATTTCCAATTCATTATTATGTGAACCAGAGTAAGATGTCTCTGATAAGGCGTTTGGTCTTGTGCTCATTGAAATCAGTGGCAACCAGATCAGATCCTAAAAGGGAAGCTTGCTTTTATCACTTGTACTCTAACCCAAAGAACAGTTAGTACAGGAGAAGTGTAGGGACCTATTGTCCCCAGCAGGATATGGATAATTCCAATTGAAATCAGT